TCACGCTCCACGCTGACCCCAGGATGGACACTGAAGGCACACACGTTATGTGCAGGGACTGCTGCACGTGGAAATGGCCACCCAACCAATGCGAGGCTGACCTTTGCCTCCGCAGTTATGACGTAGAAAGGCATGTGAGAGACCAAGAGGGACTGCTCCTTGCCCTCTGAGGACCGCGTGGCCTGGGAGACAAGAGTAGATGACGAGAGTTGATCAGGAGAACTGGGAAAACGGGAAGATCAGCAAAGGCCTGGTGGCTTTGGAAGGTTCTGTACAAGAGGCAACACCTAAGCATGGTCATTGAGATGGGGAACAGAAGGCTTGGACATATGAAAAAGCGAAGAGTAGGACCAGGGACTTGGGGTGAGCCTGTTGTCTGCACCATCAAGGTCAGACTGTTTAGCAAATAGCACAACCCATACAGGGAGGGAGTATGCCAATCCTCTCATAAACTCTCACTTTACTCAATCAGATATGTAGAATTCATGAAGAGCAGGAAGGAGAGAGCATCCCAGTCCCTTTCCTAGTCTCACCCCTGCTTCAGTGTAGGTCCTATGGTCAGGTCAGCTGAATTCGCAGGCCCATGTGGTACACCCATGTGAGAACATCCTTATCCTGAGTGCCCCCAAGGATGGCTCTATCCAACCATACTGTGATGAAAGAAACCATTCCTGCCAGCTTTCTGGGGTGACTTGTGTGGATAGCAATGGGCAGAACCAGCCAAGCAGCCAGTACTAACTCCACGGGTTACTAGAAACCCGGCATGACTACTGTACAAGGTATATTCACACGATGGGCATCCAGGCAGAATGACATTGTTTTCATTAAAAAGTGACATAGATAACCATCAACCCATAGCTCATAGTCTCATCAATTCAGCAACAGCCATAACAACAAGAATTGACTCCAATTTAACTGTTTGCACTTGTCCAGCTCACTGGAGACCATCCAGTTTGTAGATGTCTTCTTATTTCCTACCTCTCTATAGGAACTTACAGACTTCAGTAGGTCTCTACAGCTTTCAACATGAATCTAGTCCCCCAAAGATAATAGCTGTGCTGATGAGGACTTTTTTTTCCACTCTCAAATAATTAACTTAAAGCAATTTACCCACAAAAACTGGGGTGACAGATTTCAGATTTACTGGTTCACTTACTTGAAAAATCAAGGGTAGATCTGGCTTGCTAGAATGGGTACATCCAGGGATTCCAAGACCAACACAGCAAGATAGCCACTAAGTTCGAAAGCAATGGAAAGGTAGTCATTCTCATAGCTCCACTTAAAAGGTTTACCTGGGACCAAAAGGCCGAACTAGAACCAGTCTCTGTAGCCAGAGGGGTGGCCATCTGCCTCCCCCGCAGCTTGTATAAGCTGTAGGAATCACTGCACTTACAGAAATGAGTGTCCCAGAGGGAAAGGATTCCTAGTTAAAGCTGCCAGGGATGCTGGGTAGATAAACTGCCCATTCAGCACAGCGTACCTGTTAGTTTAGTTTTAGTGACTTCCCCTGTAGCTCCGCCAGCATTCAATGCTGACATTTACCTCAGACCTCTGAGCCGGGCAAGCTTTGGAGAACCACTGTTGTTCCACAGCAGGAAGCTAAGTCAGGGACCAAAACAGTCTGCCTAGGACACCAGAACTAGGATGTCATGACAGGCCTGACCTCCAGCCACCTGGCCCAGTACAGGTGGCACTGGCTCCTGCCAGAGAATCAGATCCAGGCCAAAGGTAAGGAGAGGGTCAGAGGCATCAGACTGCTGCAGATGTAAACTGCTAAGACTCAGAACTCACTTCCAACCAGCTCATCAGAAACCTGTTCTGGTTTCTTTCCTGAACCCCTCAAGCTTGTCACTTCTCTCTAAACACTTGAGAGGGAGGAAAAAATGAAAAAGGCAGAACTTCCTCCATATTCCTACTTACCATGGGGCACAACTGCAGTTCTAACAATATTCATTCCCCTTACAAGGACTTCCCTAGAGTGGGGGTGTCCTAGTATCCAGAGGCGTGCAGATGGCTTGGTGTCCAAGGTCACACAGGCTGGGTGAGCTCTGGCCCATCCAGGCCTCCCTCCTTGCAGGAAAATGACTGCTCAGGGGACCCTGCCAGCAGCTCCCCCATCAGCTGCCCCACAACAGGAGCCTACCAGCTGCACACAGAGGCAGGTGGGAAGGCAGTGAGAAGCCAGCAGGATTAGGTAGGTGCTGGCCATCTACTCCTAACCCAAAGCCACCTGTGCTGCATCCAGGTGTGGGAAGCCTCGCTGAGGCTGCAGACCACCATGGTTCACCACCTGGGCCACTTCCAGTGAGCCGCCTGAACTTTCCGTATCTCGGCATACTCACCTGATCAAAGCGAGAACAGCGGCCCTGGACCTCATGGAGCTGTTGTGGGAACTAAGTGAAACGAATCTATGCAAAGCAGTGAGCAAATGGTCAGTCCTTAGTATTAGTTGTTATTATTACTACTGTGTTATTATTATTGCTGTTGCTGTTTTGTTTATTGCTACCTAATCCTTCCACCTAGATCCAAGGCTACCCTAGCAAGAGCTAAGCAGACTGGGAATCATGTCTGCCACATGGGCTAATAACAAATATTTATTAAGCACTCGTTGCATGGTTCACCTTCTCCAAATACACTGCATCATTACCTACTCATTTTCTCTCAGTACCCCTAGGCAGGGACTATCATCTCAACTTTTCAAACTGGAGAACTGAGACCTAAAAAGGTTGAGTCACTTGCCTTCTACAGGTAGTACAGGGTAGGACAATACAAAAGTCTCTCGACTCAGGCCAACTCAAGAGCCCATGCCCTTAATTACTGCTCTGCACCACCAGTTTGCAGACACTGGCATGCACATGCTTAACTTCGGCATAGGAAGGTCTCCTGCCAGAGAGACAGCCCTGGGAGCTAAGCCCGAGCTGCCAGCTAAGCCGTGGCAGCTCCAAGAGCATAAAATGATAGGACAGCCAGCACCCTGGTTTCTAGGACCGGAAGGGCTCTGTGGCCCACCCAGCATCAGCCACGGAGAAAAGAAAGTCTGTGCTACCTGCAGTCCGTCCTTCCTGCCTTCCTCTCTCCACTGAGACCATCTAGTGACAGGCCCACCAACCTCTTCCATCTCTCAGGACCAGGAGATGGGCTTGAAAGGACTGGCTGCCAGCCCAGGGGGGACTCTTGCCTTGCTGGGCACCAAAAGGCAACTGCTGGGTTAGACCAAAACACAGGCGTCAGGTGACTGACCCGTGAACTCCCTACCAGCCACACTAGATGTGATTTCCACACCTAGAACTATAAATACACCTAGAAAACAAACTCTCCCATGCCCAAATCTGGGGAGGGGCTCAATGCTCACACTTCTGATGCTGCATTCACAGGAAAAGCATGTGTGCTATGTCTGCTGAGTTAACTTGTGGTAACTACCCACTAATGCCACGCCACTGTTTTTATTGTCTTGTTTTGGCACACAGGTATGTTGGGGGTCTCCTGAGAGCTTTTTAATGTAGAAGGAGCCAGGCCTCTCTTGGCCTCAGAGAGGTACCCCCTGATGCCCAGGCATGAAGGAATTCCTGAACTGTGTTCTCTCCTTCTCTTGAAGACACCTGAACCATGTGGGATTGTGAGGCAGAGGTCTCTACCCTGACGGGGGAGCTTGAAAGAACACAATCAGTAAGTCATGTCCGTGTCCTGTTCCCAGGACAGGGGACAACAAGAACAGTGCTGGGCCTTCGTGTTCATCCAAACCATGAACACAGTTTAATGGCAAAGAAGCACCAGACAGCCAGATGGAGAGATGGGCTGCACTGCCCCCGAGCAGTACTCTTCCATGGTGTCAAGCTTACAAAGGACACAGGTATGAGACTGTCACAAGCCAAAAGAATCTAAGGAGATGTGATAACTGCACACAAGGTGGTAGCCTGCATGCGATCCTGGGCCACAGAAAGGACGTCTGTAGGAAACTGAGCTAAATATCTGTAGCTTAGTTAAGTTACTCAGACCATATGAATGTGAGTTTCTTCTCATTAATTAAGGGCCCTGGTTATGTGAGAAGTTAAAATTAGGGAAGGATAGGTGGCTAGTATAGTGGGACCCCTCTGTACCATCTTTGCAACTCTGCTATAAGTCTAAAATTATTTCAGAATAAAATATTTAAAACCAAAACAATCTTTGAAAAGTGCTTGGCCTCCATTTAAACCAATTAAATCACAATCTCAGGCATCTGAAGTTCTCCAGGTGGTTCTGATGTGCAGATACGGTTAAAAACCATGAGTGTAGGATTCTGAGGGTCAGCGTGGGCATCAATGTCCCATGGAAGAATTATGGAATTATTGGTAGGCCCCACCCTATCTCCAGTTCAGTGAGTGGCACCAAAGCCTGAGAATCAGCACTTCTAGCCAGCTCCTACACAGTGCCTGGCTGGCCCCAGGACCACTGGCCTAGGTCCTTGCAACTCAGCAGCAGCAGTGTCACCTGTAATCTGGTTAAGAGATGCAAACCTCAGGGCCCCTCTCCTCCTTGGTTCACACAGCAAACTCTGCAAGGGCCTGCTGCAGCTTGAAAGTGCAGAGATGGGATGGGGACACAGACACTGAAAAGGCAGGCCTGGAGGCTGAATTCCCCCATCTGACCGACTGCCTTAACACTGTCCTTCCCTCTAACACAGAAGAGAAAAAACCAGGAAGCACATCAGAGGACCACTGCAACAGTGCAGCAAAGGCAGAGCAGGGAGCCGGAGCTTCTGTGCCCGCAGCACTGGCCAGGGGCACGGTGACCTGGGGGGAGCGGAGCTGGCTGACAGCAGAGCATCGTCGCAGGGGCAGGTAGAACAGGCCAGGAGGCACTGAAGACAAGGAAACGGGCACTGTAGCTGTGGCCCAGGGTGTCACATTAACTCTTCCAAGGGACAAACTCACTCTTCCTTTGGAAGCAAGCCACACCAGGCTTTGCTTCATTGGAAGAAAGGAGCTGGGAAGAGGGATGAAATCAGCAAGGGAGAGCTGGGAAGAGGGAAGAAATCAGTAAGGAAGAGGGGAGGAATGGAAAAGGAGGAAGCAAGAGTGGGAACCAAACAAGTTTTTACCAAACTTGGTTTCTACCAAGACTTTTGCAGTAGTAAGGCTTGGGCCACAGGCCTTCCACAGCTCCCTCTGACCAGGAGCACAGTGAACAAGAGCAACGGCAGCAGGGCACCAGGTAGGCAAGGTCTCTGCTAAGTGTGAGCCCTCTCCCCAGGTCAACGAGCAACACAGCTCCACCAGTTTTGTTCCAGTCTTGTTCCTCCTGTGGGTGAAGATCTCTTGGGTCACTGGCTCCAGCTCAGACCCCAGCTCTGGCCATGCCACCCCTTTCTCAACTCAGCCCAGACATCACTCTCCTCATATTTTCCCCACAGAGTCATCACAAACCCATCAGCTCTGCTCCCCAAGGTCTGTGCGGGTGCCTCTGAGAGCCACTTTTGTTGTTAGCTATAGTTTGCAAGCTCTGCAGTAGTGTCAGGAGGGCCCTGGCACCCTACAGAGCTGACAAGGGCCATTTCTGATCCTTTTGTACACAAAAAACACTCCCCAAACTAACCTGGCCAGCCCACCACCACCTCTTGCAAGACTAATATATGTGTAGCTTCCCAAGTGCACAAATTTTATAAGCTCTGAAAATCTCACAGTATGCTGGGGCTCTCAAGGTTTGTGCCTTTACCAAGCATCTTTGTTAAGCTAGCACATACAGCTGCTGGTCACCTAGGTGCTGGGCACATCCAGGACAGGCACACAAGCCAGACAGCCTGAGGAACAAGTATAATCCTCATCTTGGCACTGTCAAAACAAAAGCAAAGCAGAGAACACCACTCAGCCACTCAGTGACCACAAACACATTACAAACCTCTTTGAGGTCTGTGAGATGAAGTTGTTAGTCCCTCCCTCAGAGAGCTGACGAGACGATCTAACAATATAACACAGGCTTGCTGGCCTCTCACAGGGCACCAAGTCAGCCAGCACCCTTCCTACTTGCAAGCTGTCCTGTACTTGCAACCCTCCCTGCCTCTCTGCTCTACCTGGATGAATGTTCTGGGTCCTGGGCTCACTGGCAACATGCTGATGCTTCAGATCCCAGTGCAAAGGAAGCCAACCATTACAGAGAAAGTGAGACGCAAGCAACCATTACCTTGAACAGCAAAGACATTTATATTTACTTCAGTGGCTATAAAAGACACCATAAAATATAATATGCACCATGCATCCTCATGATTAATAACAGATCTAGCAAATTATTCTTGCAGGTCCCTGGGTACATCTAACTAGTCACAAAGAACAATTAATTCTTTCAGGAAATAAAAGAGTAGGAAATCATTTCTGATCACTAGAAAGTCTACTTGTTATAGTATGAATAAAAAGAACAGAAAACGAGACTCAGACTCAGGGTTTCCTATAGGGGTAGAGTGAGGTAGAGCAATATCAGAGAGATTCAAATACAATTACCACCCGGGACCACAGGTGTGCAGGGAGCTAGGACCTCGCAAACCTGAGATCTCAGGGGCCTGGAGATCACACAGACACAGGAGTTAGAGCAGGGATTTGGGGGTGTCCCAGAAGCAGGAGCAGAGGGAGGGGCAGCCTGCAATGCAACAGGTGAAGACAGAATTCAAACAGGCAACATGAGGTTTCCAAATGGAAACCCAGCCGTAGTGACTGAAGTTTCAGCAAAAGGAGGGAGGACTCCAGAAGGACTGGGAAGGCCCGGTGGGACCCCAGGCTGGAATCAGAACCAGAGCCATCAACTAAGGGCCAGAGGGTAAGTCAGGAAGTGGTTAGGAGAACAACAAGGTACCTAGCTCACAGGAAATGAGGTTGAGACGTAGGAGAAAATAAGCTCCCAGCCCTGGTCTTGACAAATCTAATCAAGTTCTTAGTCTTGGAAGGAAAGCTAAACCTCCCAAGAAGCGGCCCACTACAGAAGGAGTCCTACTGCCTGGCAGGATTAAAAGAGCAAGGAGCTTGGTCCTCGGTGCTCATGTGCACCACCCAAGCCTCGGCCTTGCTCTCCTAGGTCAACCAAGTGGAGCTGTCCACCCTTGGCTAGGGCCAGGGACACACGCAGAATGGTACATGCTGGAGTGAGGCAGGGACCAAGTGAGTCAGGATGCACAGACCCCCAAAGGCTAAAGAGGACTTACAGGAATACAATACAAATAATACTAAAGAGAGCGCCACGATGGCAGTGAACCCACAGCTGCCCAGGGTCAGCCCTCAGATGGCAAACTGCTTTGCTCAGGTGTGACACCTCTGGGAAGGGTCATGAAAGGATAGTGAGTCTGTCCTGCAGCAGTTTTAGAGGCAATGGTCATCTCCAACAAAATCAAACTCCCTGCCCTCAGTAGCACACATGGTCAATACTGACGGCAGAAGTGGTTAATGGAAATGGGGATGATGGCCAAGCCAATGGCACACACAGGAATAGGAGAGGAGGCTGCTACAACTTCTCCCAAGGAAGAAGAGCCTGTTCCACGGCACAGCCTGTAGGCCCTGAGACGGGGGCCGCAGCAAGCCTAGCGGTTCCAAAGGTGGGGCGTCCTGGTGCATGGACAGTGACCCTGAGACCGCAGAGCACCGCAGGACAGACAGCAGGGCCAGGGTGGAGATGGGGAACAAAGGAAATACAGTGAAAAGTCACCAGAAAGAAGTCAGCAAACCCACTCAGTGTGGAGCAGGAAAGAGCCGGCAAAGCAGGGCCGAGAGCCAGCTGACCAGTCTCAGCCCCTTCACATGCAGAATGAGTTCATAAATGCTGATCTGCCATAAACTAACAGCCTCGCCGAAAGCGATGTGGGTCCTCGTGAAGAATGAGCGGGCATTCTTCTTCTTGTGCCTGGAGGGGTGGGGAGAGAAAAGAGAGGAGGAGGTAAGAAATACCAGGTCTGCTTAGGCAGAAAGCCTGCTTAGGCAAGCTTAGGCAAAGCTCAGGGACCATGGTTCAATCCCCAGCATCACATGCCGTGCCAGCCACAATAAATAAATAAATAAATAAATAAACAAACAAACAAACAAGCAAATAAAATAAAGATGGTGGCTTCAGCTGACTCAGGAGCTCCTTGCTCCTGGGCTCTGCTCTTGGCGAAATGATCATCACAAACCTGAGGAACTCAGACGCTCCAAAGGAGTTATTTAAGTGAGCTGGGTAAGCAAAAGTGCTTGTTTCCCAGGGCATCCCAGGGCTTAAGACGGCCAATGGGTAGACCATTCCAATGATTCTTTTTGCAAAAGTATAGCAAACATGTGCTAATCCAGAATTTTCCAAACTTAAATGCAATCAAACTTTCTGAGCAGAAGAATCATTTAGAAACCTGCTCAGGTTATCTGAGGGTGTTAAGGCCAATACAGATGAGCCCAGAACAAATTCTTCTGGGCCCAAAACAAGACACAAGAAAAATTGTGTTTATGATGATGACCTATGCAACATTATACCTCCTAAACTCTCAGAGGAAGAATAAATTGTGGCCAGCCCTCTTAGTATGCAGTATATTTTGCTGTCCTCTCACTTGATATTTGATGTGGGTACATGATATATGTGGTCAAATCTCTTAGCTTCCCAGGATGATCCATGGCCTGCCAGGATGGGTGGGCTGGGCCCAGACAACGAGTCAGGCCCCCTCTCTTCATGAGAACCTTCCAGCAGAGCAGGCCTTTCACCACACTACCTGCAGGGCCAGAACCCTCAGCCTCTGGAGCTGTAGCGCTGAGCAAGCACCCCTCTCATCATCAACACTCCAAGGGCACCACAGATCCAGAGAGCTGGGATTCCTGGAAAGCTTACCGACCACACTTTCCCAAGTCACAGTCAAGAAAAAGAGCACTAACCTGGCTGGTTGGCTGTCCCAGGGCCAATAAGATGGGGTGACACCAATTCCAGGGGATCCCTGGATAGGCTGAGGCTCTCAGAGAACATTTTAAACTGATTGTAAGGGCCAGGAATATAGCTCAGCAGCACAAGGGCCTGCCTGGCAAGCACAAGGTCCTGAGGTCTATTCCCAGTACCAAGAAAACCTGATGCTAAGACCTGTCTGAAGACTGAATAGGGAAGATGAGGTCTTAGGATCTACCACTGAATAAGTACAGGTGACTCCCTGGACCACCCAAAGGCACTGCCCTGAGGCATCTGCCAGCTTGCTGAAGCTAACTGCCCCCATCTTTCTCTCCTCAGAGTGATTCGAGATTGGGACAGACAGGTAGGACCCCATGGACCAGTGGGGAAAGGAAAGCCAGGCAGCCTTGGGGAAGGCTGCGGGGAGCAGGGGGACAGAAGTAGGAGCCCATACTCACTTGGCCAGTGCTCTGACACAGCACCGCGACATGTTGAGGAAGGAGCTGGCACTGGCGCGGGTGCCCAGGGCAGCCTCAATGCTGCGCAGCAAGTCGTTGGTCTTGAGGATGAGCAGCATCTGGCGTGGTACATGGTTGAGGAGCTGGCTGATCTGGGGCAGGTAGCTAGCCGCATTGCTGCGGATCTCTGAGTCCTTAGGCAGCAAGAGGGAGACAGAAGCAAATGGTTCATGCAGGAAGAGGGGATGAGAGTGGCAGAAGCCTCAGGCTGGAGCTCCTAGCACAACTGTTCCAGAGAAGCCTCCCCAAGGGAAGTCTGGCCTCAGTGGGCTTTTGGGCCTAAAGACCTGGATAGGAGGACCTGGCTCCACCGTTAGGCAAACAGTGGGTGCAGCACAGCAGCACAGATGGCTGGCCAGGTGACTCCCCAAGGGTTCTGTGCTGGCCAGCTATTTCAGGAGATCTGCAAGCAGAGTCACATCCCTCATCAATGAACTCAGGCTGATGAAAGTCCATAGATCTAAACATCTGCCTCCAACACAACTCTGAACTCCACCCCACACCCTGCTCCCCACTACAGCCACCTGCTGCCCACATGCCACTGTTGTTCACTACCCCTACACTGGAACCAATCTCATTCTGCCATTACCTGAGGTCCTGAAGCCCCCAGAGTAGGGTGCTGGGCTGGTGCTGGATTCTGGGAACAGCTAGACTTCCCTTCCTTCCCAGTCCCTGAGCTCTGTATGGATCTAGGCAGATAACCACCCAGCCAGAATTCTGGGCCTCCCAGTGTGGCTCTGACCCTTTTTGGTCTCTAAAAAAAAAAAATGATGATAGTGGTGGTGGAGGTGGTGGTGGCAGTGGTGGTGGTGGTGGTGGTGGTGGTGGTGGCAGTGGCCAGCACATACTGGGAAATTATCAAGTAAACCAGGTATTTTCAAAATGCTATAGTATAAATTTATTTAATCCTCATAATGGGTCTATCACATTTCATGTATTATCCCCATTTCTTATGGTATAGATCACAAATGTCCCCCAAAAGACCATGTGTTCAGAGGTCAGGCTCTTAAGTGATGAATCCACTGATGATTTCTAATTGAATGTGGACTCTGAGTACTCATCCCCCATCACGTGATTGGTGGAAGCAGGGACATGTGATAAGTTCCTCGCCAATGAGACATAAGGACAAGTCTGTTGGTGATTTCTGGGAAAGGGCTTTTTTTTTTTTTTTTTTTTTTTTTTGAATGCCTTTTAATTTTAGGGGTCTACAGGGTGTCCAGGGTCTCACTACTAGATCAGCTCGTAGTGATCCACCTGTTAGCCTCCCAAGAGCTGAGATTACAGGCACGCCACCACACCCAGTCTCAACAGCCATCTCAGCATGCCCGCGGGGCACGCCCAGGATGATATCTAGGGACCTGCTTGCAGGCATTTTAATCCGCTGAGCTGTTTGGCCGGCTCTTGGGAAAGGGTTTCTTGCAATTAAAGAGTGACACAGGAGAGGGACTAGCTCCTGATTCCGGTCTCTGGCCAACACTGAATAAAGATGTGAAGCTGGGGACAGACCCTGCCACCTTACAACCATGACAGGAGAGCCAAGGGAATCCTAGGAGTGAGCCAGCCCCCCAGGATCCCCATTATGGTTCGTGTTTAGTTATCCCCCCTAAAGCCTCATGCAAGTCATGGGGCAGACGCGGTGCAAGAAGTAGCAAGCAGCTTGAGGGGCGGGGCCAGAGAACCAGGGCAGGGCTCCAGGGGCGGGGTCAGAGGACCAGGGCGGAGCTCAAGGGGCGGGGCCAGAGAGGCTTGAACCGTTAAGCGGGCAGCCTGAGCTCTGCCCACCCCACCCCCCTGTCTGCAGTCTCTCTGAGGTATGGAGAGGGTCATCCTGGACATAGTGGCACCCCAGCCTCTCCTCCAGAACCTTCAAAGCAGGGCATCAGTGTCTGATTGAGGCCGCCCGGGGCAGAGAGATGTTTGTAGAGGACAGAAGCATTGACTCTCCCTCTGGAACAAATAAAGCTCCGAGGTCTTGCTCCTAATTCAGGTTGTTTTAAACTATGAAACCTCCAGTAACTGTGAGCTAAACAAATCTTTCCTTCCCTCATTTTAAGTGTCAGGTATTTGTCCCAGCAACCAAAGAAGAGTAAGACAACCCCCTGACTGGAGAGAATAAATTCCTCATTGCTTAAGCCATGTGTAGGAGGCAGGGCCTGTTGGAGGAGAAAGCCACTGGAAGTACAGCCTTGAAGGGTGACTCTCGTTCTGGGCTCCTCTCTCTTGGGCTTTGTCTTTTGGCCCTGGATGCCATGAGGTAAGCGACTGTCCTCTGTCACGCCTTTCTGCCATGGAGTCTGCCTACCTCTAAAGCCATGAACCAAAAGAGACTACTCCTCCTTTAAGTTGTATCTGTCAGGTCCTTTGTCCAGGAAATGGAAAGCCAACCACTTGAGATGAGGAAACGGTGGCACTGAGAGGTCAAGTAACCTGTCCAAGACCACAGCTCATCAGTGATGTGTCAGGATTTCAGCCCAGGCAGCCCCGCTCCTGAGGCCGCACCTTCTCAATCCAGTTACAATGCCTCTCCACCTATAGCAGAACAGCGTGACCCTGAGCAAGTCCTTTCAATTCTTTCAACTTCCTAGCAGCCCAGACAGTCACAAGGGACAAAGCACAGCCAAGCATCCCACGCCAGCTGAAGTCTTTCCAAGGGCCAGGCACTGCTGCCCAAGGCTGCCTTCTGCAGCACGAGCAGAACCCACAGTCCTCTGAGAAGCATGAGAATGCTGCTGATAACCAAGCTGCTGGGAAACTTAAAATGTCCCTCTGGCAGGAGCTATCAGACTGGAATATTTCCACACAAGCCAGGCACCAAGAGGTAGTCCACTACCACAGCTATAGGTCACCCTGCTTGAATATAAAGGCTCTCTATGGGTCTCCCCTCCACCAGGCCAGAACTGGTCTGCTGACACCCCTCTCAGTCCAAACACGAGGCACCCATGCCCCCCAGGTGCCCTCACTGGTAACTCTCAGACCAACAAAGCTGCAAGCTTGGGCATGGTCTGGCGGTGAGTATCTGCAGTACACTGCTAGGCATCTATGCAACAGCTACTACCTTTTTCCTTTATTAAAAAGAACTCCAGCTTTCACTTGACTCCTTGGGGTTACACTCTTCAGGGTGACAGAGCTGCTTACTACCTGCAAAAGGAAATCTTGACTGTTCACAGCCAAGATGGGCTCTGAGACTCATCAACCCACCATGTGATTGGTGGAGGTAGGGACATGTGATAAGTTCCTGGCCAATGAGACATAAGGACAAGTCTGTTGGGGATTTCTGGGAAAGGGCTTCTTGCAGTTAAGGAGTGACACATGAGAGGGAATAGCTCCTGATTCCTGTCTCTGGTCATCACTGAATAAAGATGTGAAGCTGGACCTAAGTTTGCAAACCAAAAATTAGAGAAAAAGAAGGGCTGCAAGGACAGCCAACATTTTGGCCCTAGCCTTTCAAGGTCAGTGAAGACTCTGGACACAGGAGAACCTGTACTGTAACATCATGTAACTCAGTTGTATCCCAAATTTTCTGATCAATGAGATTATGGGACCACAGAGCAACGTGATCGATGACATAGAGTGTGTGTAAGGAGAGTCACCTGGAGAGAAAACATTCTCTCAGGCTTTCACAGAGAGCAAACTGGTCAAGAAATGGCCATGACTCATCCACATGGCTGACACTGACAAAGTATCTGCAAACTGTGGTACAGGGTTACAGGATAAATCCTGAGGGGACTTGACTTACTTTATCAGATACAAAAGTTACATTTCTAGTTACATAGGTCTTGCTTTATCCTGGTCTTAACAATCCAGCAGAAAAGTATAAAAATGAGGTATAAAAAGTAAAGCCATATTAATATTCTGTGCTGTGAATGGCTCAAGTCAACAACTTCTGACATTGCCAGTCGTACAGATAACCCCTACTATTATGGACCTCTGGACTATATTGGATTATTTTGCTGAATTCACATACCTACAATATTTAAATGGCAATGAAATACCCATCTTTAACAAAACTAAACAAAAAAAAGGGGGATACAAAGGAAGGACCATTTTGTATCTGCATAAACAAAATAGGATAGATATACAGCTACTTTCTCTTAATTCAATGAGAAGAAAGATTTGTACTAATAGTATTTGGACAGGATATCATGTCTGCATCTTATATTATGAAGAACCACTAAGAAGATAACAATATACAATGTATTAATTACTGAAACTGTCCTATTAATTGGTTTTGAAACTGTCTCATTGCTGTCTGTTTCTCAATAAAATTAATAAAAAATAAAAAAAAAATTTTAAATATGTGAAGCTGGGGACAGCTGCTGCTGCCTTACAACCATGACAGGAGACCCAAGAGAATCCCAGGAGTGAGCCACAGTCCCAGAACTCCCCTGCCTAGAAAGAACAAATTCCTCACTGTTTAAGCCATGTGTATGAATAGAAAATATCCCTCCTGATACTCTTGTCAGGGTTCCCTCATTCTCAGTTTTCTTCCAGCATGAACTGAGCCTCCATCACCTCTGGGTCTGGAAGCCAGGGCCAGCCTCCTAACTAACTGCCCTGTGGTACATGTGCCCCATTTCAGAGGGATACATAAAAACAGCAGTCATGAGCATTTTCTTCTCCTGCTGCAAGGCTATTAAAGGCTTTGCTTTGTAGCAAGTGTTGTAATTTAGAGCTCATCACCCAAAAGTCTCATATATTCAGAGGTGGGGCTTTCAGAAGTGGAGCATGGGATGCTCTACTCATCAGCAGATTAATCGACTGCTCGGTGTACTACTAGGGGGCAGCCTGGTCAGCGGAGGTGAGTCATCAGGGCTGTGGGTATGTCCTCGTCCCTGGCCCTTCTTGCTCTTCTTCCTGGGTGTCATGAGCGGAACAGCCTTCCTCCATCGTGCTCTTCTGCCACGCTATCTCAGCCTTGGAGCCAGCTAACCACTGAGCTCTCTGGAACCATGAGCCAGAATAAAGTGCTCCTCCCTAAGTCGTGCACATCAGGTATTTTGTCACAGGGATAGGGGAGAGGCTAGTACACTAAGAATGAACTTAAACTTCGCTTCAATGTTTACAGGGCCCCATGAGATCCTCTCCCTGCCCAGAGTGCCAAATTCTTCTCTCCTCCTCACCACACTCTAGACCACACCAAACTCTGCTTCCTCTAGGCTGCGATTACCTGTTTGTTCACTTACCTATGTGTTTACTTGTTTACTGTCTGCCTCCCTCACCCAAAGTGCAAATTACACAAAAGCCTTGTCTGTTTGTGAATCATGAGATCCTCAACATCAAGCCCAGGGCTCGGCAGAAACAAATGTTTATGGGATAAATGAACTTCCAGCACTGTGGGTAGGCATGTGCCCTGCATTATCAGTAGGACAGAATAATTGTCCCTGCCAACTCTACTTCACAAAAGAAGAGACTGCTGCTCCAACTCTGAGATGATGAGCTTCAAGGCTGTGCAGTAAGTGCTTATCTTACCGCCTAACTTACTGGAAAATGACACCAACTTATAGGAACATGAAACCAAGAGAGGGGTCTTTGAAACCATGTGAGACTTTGGCTTCAGACATTCCTAAAGTCACCAGCCACCAATCAGCTTGCAAGGGAGGACCTTGAGGCCCAAAGGGGTGACAAGAATCCCCAAGGTTATGCCACCAAGAAGCAATGCTGAAACTAGAGCCCAAATTTCCCATGGCACATGAATAACTCTGAAGTGCGGCAGGGGCCTCAGCAAGATCGCAGGTTTACCTACCACTGAGAGACAAGCCAGGCTGGGGGGGCCTGGAAACTGACAAAACAGAAGGGACAGTCATCTTTTCCATGAAGAATGGAGAAGTCCCCTGGAAGGAAGCCTAGCTGAGCCAGGAGGAATGAGCTGGCCCTGGGCAATTCTATGGGGAGCCAAGGTGGGCGGGAGCAAGGGACAGACTCCCAGATCTGTCCCCCAACCACACTCCACAGCACTCTATCTAGGTCCACAGAGAAAGGAGCAACTGATAACAAAATAAGCAGCTTTAGTAAAAATTTTATAGGACAATGGGTCAAGCCACCCTGCTTAAGTACCACAAGGGTTTGCTCCAGTATGGAGTCTGAGAGGGCAACAGGAGACTGTGCCAGGCACAAGACAGCAGACGTGTCACCAGATTTAGAAGAGGAACAGCCCCTGAGGACTCCCAGAGCCTTGGGGGAGAACCTGAAGGAAGTCTGACATCTCACATGTGCAAGCCTGGCACTAAAGCCACCAAAGGCCAGGTTATGGCTACCTGTGTTTTCGAAGGCCTGGAGGAGACATGGCAGGCTGTCTTCCCCATCCCTCCTCTACCCGCGGACCCCACCTCTTCTCTCTCCCTACTTCTCACTGAATATAGCCCCAGTTTTTCCCCTCCCCCCACACACATCCCACCAATCGAGAATCTCAGACCCTGGACTGGAAGCATCCACAACACATCCCTGTCCCCTGCATTTGCACAGGAGCAGGGCTGGGAGGGACTACCTACCTCAGTGGCAGTGACTGGGGCATGGCTGATGCCCCTGTTAACGGAGTCCCAGGACCGGGCTGTCAGCATGCAGGCAAACAAGGGGTAGAGCTCACCAGCTCCCAGGCACTGGCTGTACCTCTTCACCTTCTCCATGTCCGTCCAGATCAGAGACTGCCACAGGTGGCAGTAATCTATGCGGAACGCTTCCGTGAGCACCTGTGGCCACAACAAGGGTAGGACCTGAGCTTCCTCTCTCCACCACAGGCCTAAGCCCTGGTACTGACCTCCACAAAGGGGGAAAGGAGGACTGTGGCTCCCCAGGATGTCTGCTTCCCCCTCAAGTATGGCCATCCTAAGGCCCAACGTCAAGTTACTACCAATTAAATAGCCCTTAGTTGAAATGCTTGGGACAAAAATACTGTAGATTTTGGATTTTGTTTAGGTTTTATAGAATATTTGATATACATAATATCTTGAGGCTATTTTAAGACTAAAAGTGAAATTAACAGCTTAAAGGTAATTTCATTCAATATTTTTAATAAATTTTGTGTATCACAATCTATGAAGCCTCTTCTTCCCTGGTTATTTTCCTGGCCTCCCTGAAAGTTAGATGAAGTGCCGCCAGATTTAGGAAAGAAGCAGTCCCTAAGGATTCCCAGGAGCCCTGGGAGAGAAACTGAAGGAACTGAAACGTGGCAGAACTTCCACTCCCCCAAAACTTCCCTGCCCACTGCCTCTGAGCCCCTTCCCCCCACTGTTGGCTGACAGCACCATGGCTTGCAGACAGACCTGAGAAGCAGAGCCTACAGACCACCCCACCCAGGGCTGGCACTGGAGCAAGCAATGACACTCATTTGAAGACTATTTGAGGGCAGCTAGCCTAACTGAATCTGATACGTGCTATTTCAGCCAGCCTTTCAGAGGAGGCTGGGACTTTGAGATGTGGAATCAGGGGTCTGGGGGAAGGAGCAGAAGATCACTGGGAAACCTCCCAGGACCGTCTTCCTCATGGAAGGTCCAAGGTTGGCAGTGAGCACCCCCAGCTTCCAGGTAGGAGCCCATGGCTGTTAAAGCCTGCATCTCATCCTGAGGTCCTGAGGATCTAATCACGAGCTAGCCAGCCCCTACCATTTCTCTGCCCTCTTTTCCACTCACTGGACTCCTTTTCTTCTGCAAGCCCCAGTCCATGCCAAGGGCAGCTCATACCCTAGGTCAGGGCTGGGCCTGCGGTTCCCTGGGAAGGCACGACATATACACAAGCACCTTTCATCATCTACATGCTGCCATGTACTGTGAAGGAGACAAGATCAATCTTGATTTTGTAGAAGGAAGCTGAACCTCAGTGAGCTCTTAGGACAGCAACACGCATGACATGTCAGTTTTCTAGTGGAGAGCAGAACCCTCTCCAGCCCCAGCCACCATGGATGTTCCCTCCACTTTATGGCGGACAGAAGACTTCAGTGGACTCTGACCCCAGGCAAGACTAGGCCATGGGGCCAGGTGAAAAAGGCTTCTCCTACCTGGTAGAGTCCATGGTCCAACAGAATAATCTCCGCTTTGCCTGTGACCGGGTGCTTCCGCACTAGCACATTGCCCGGGTGGGGGTCACAGTGCACAAAGCCATTGACAAAGATCATCTCACTGTACATCTTGCCCAGATGGCGGGAGATCTGAAAGAGAAGGAAGGCAGGTGGGACTGCTGTTCCATTCATACCTATGGGGCCTTCTTTTCTGATCTTCTACTTGGGTCCCTTCTAAGAGGAGACCAAAAGAACCCAGTGAATCTGAAAAGTGGTGATGAAAGCGATGGTTTGAGATGATTTAGTCCCTGCCTTTAGGAAGCTAGGCTCTAACTTAGTACTTCTCCACTTTAGTCACGCATTAGAATCATCTGGAACTTAGAAATGGTACCAGTCATCAGCATTTTCTCTTTTTTTTTCCACCAGTAGTTTGTCAAAGTTCCTAAGGTGATATCAATGCATGGAAGGTGAGGGAACAGCTGCTCCTCCTCCCAGGGCCAGGCTCCTCCATTCTCCCCTCTTCTCTCCCCTCCTCTCTCCCCTACTCCTCTCCACTCTTTCCCAAAGCAGAGGACAGGTTTGGGGCGCTATCCTAAGCATTCCTTCTCCACAGAACAAGGCTAGGACTGAGGATCAGGACTAGGCAACCCCGCCAGCACCCCTGGTGGCTCCAGGACAGTCCCAGGCAGCTTCAGAGTCAAGGTTCTTCTCCCCTCTCCAGCTCCCCTCCCCACCAAAGCCCAATGCTAATCTGATTTATGATGTCTGCACAGAAGAAATGACACTGGAGAGGCCATTTAAATCATCCTGTCATGCTGCTCTCCCTGCCGAGCCAGGCTTCTTATCTCTACTCCTTTTTTTTATTAAAGCTAAAAGCCTGTTTCCCACTAGGGAACAGTTGCAGAATAGAGCCAGACCTGGGCCCAAAGATGATCTACCGATGGTTTCCAGGGGACAAAGACATGCTCAAGCAGAAGCAGATGCACAGGACACTGGCTGCCTCGGCCTTCCTTTCGGTTTGGTTAGATCCCATGGTCATTAACAAACATTCCAGCCCAATAAGAAGAGCTGGGGCTCAAGAGCTGGGAAGCACAGGATTAGTATCTTTCCTTAACCTACAAAGCCCTACACGGGCAGGCCTTCCCTCCCTCCCTGGTCTCACTGCACACCATGCTACATTCCCCCTTTGTCTTCCCAGTCATCCCTGTGCCCTCCCACCACAGGGCATTTGTGCATGCAATCTCCACTGCCAGAGCATTCCTCCCACTTCCTCGGTCACAAGGCCCAGGCCCTGCCTTTCCTCCTATCCTAGATCAGATCACCTCCCAGAAGAAGGCCCCCTAACCTCCCAGACTAGAAGAGGTTTGCTCACCACACACTCTCATAGGACAGTGCTTTTCTTTCATGGCACTGGCAATTATTTGTATGATTACTTGATTAATGACCATCTAGCCTGCTATCATAAACTCCCAAGGCAGCAGGAACTAGCTCTGTTTTGTTAAACAGCTTTATTGAGGTATAATTTATATAGCATAGACTGGCTCTATTATGTATGCACTTGCTTGTAGCAGAGCCAAACACATGAATATAAGACTGTATCCAACATGAGTGAGACCCTTAGTTCTCTGTGGTCTTCTGGGATTCCATGTTCCTATGTCTAATGCTTGTCCTAACCTCATTATTCTCCTCTGAAACCAAATCAGTTAGAGCTGGAACCAAATTACATAATCAAGAATAACCCTATCTTTGAAACAGTAGCTGACATCCTTACTAACAGCTGTAAAGGGTATAATAATGACCCCTGGCTTGCAAATGCAGAGCTGAGACTCAAGATTAACTTGACTATTCATGGCTAGAAAAAGGCACACCCAAGATTCAAAAGGGGTGTAACCCCACAGCCCTCTACGAGGCTCACACCTACTTTTGCACATTTCAATTGAGCTTTGTGACCTTAAACAAGTTATTTATACCCTCGTGAAATAGACACAATAACAGTGCTACTCTAAAGGGTAGCCACAGCGGTAGATCAGAGCATCACAGTGCTTGTGACCTGGTGACCTCTCCTACGTGGCCCTCTGGTGGTTCTTACTGATTCCTCATAGCACTTCATGAAGTGGGTAGACTCAGCTCACTATTAAGACCCTGGGCCCTGCCGCCACATCAGTAGTCAGGTGCCTTGGGGGAGATCAACCCCCTTGTGCTTAATGTCTACTCACATGAAAACGAGCCTTTGCCCCAGATCAAGTTCTCAGACAGACAGAGAGTCTGAGTGTCCCAGGGCTACCATACTATTTCCTTGGAGAAGGGGTCTCAGCCAGAGCTGGTGCTGGGTGAGTGAGGGAGTCCCCACCTCTGTGCCACCAAGAGCCCTCTTGTTACACTCCTTGGAGCTCCCTGGAGCCATGCTTTGAAAGGCTCTATCTGCCAAACCAATTGCATTTATTAAGTAATCATTCATTTTTATTTGTCAAGGATGCATATAAGGTCCAATCAGGGCTTCTGATCAGCCCAAGATAAGCAGGGCAGCCAGACTGAGCTGACGGAATTCTAGCCAAAAAGCAGAGAAATGACATTTCATTTAGTCTGGGCAGACCTGTCATGGGGAGATGTATGATCTCCCTTAAGCTTTCTGAAATATTGCTAATCGCTCTGGGCCCCTTATTACTACATTGAAAGATGGCCCCCAGGGATGTGGGGACTCAGGGTGCAGGAGCCCTTTTCCATGAGGACCTTCTACTGAGCTGCTTCAGTAGAAGGAGGGAGGGGTCTGAATGCTGCTGTATACACACTTGGATGTTTGTTTTAACCATATGCCACTAGGATGGACAGATATAGAAAGCAAAGAAAGCACACGAACTAGCCTAAGCCAGCACACAGTGCTGGAGCCTACCACCTTCGGCACGAGTGGCATGGGGACAGAGGGTCAAGGCACCTCCCTTGATACTTAGAAAAAAGATGAATACCCAGGACCGCTGTCAAGTGTTCTTGTCATCAAGTTAAAAACACAGCTCATACAAATACGCAATGGCCATGTGTCAAAGGTTCCTTAACTGACTAACAAGAAAGCAAGTAAAAAGGCAGAACTCATTCAAAAGGAATTCTGAGGAAGCAGGAACTCAGGGATGTAAACAAGAGCAAGAGACTAAGCTTTCAGATGAAACAGAGGCGGGTTATTGTCTGATGATGCATTTAAAATATCAACCTCTAGGGTTATCTTTTCTACTGGACAGAAATTATTTGCATCTCTACTGGACAAAATCTCCACGTTGATGTATGACTTCAGTCTGAAGCCTTAATTAATTGTCAATAACAAAGTCAAACAAAAGTACATTTCCCTAGATATTAAAAAGTTGGGGACAAGAGAGACTGGCTGAACAATGGCCAAGAGCAACTTTGAAAGGGCACACTACACTCTTCCAGCCTTCCAAGTTCTGGAATGATTTTTCTTAATGTATTTTAGAGCTGTTGTGCAATCAATCTGTCCACAGAGGGCAGGGAGCACCCCTACACACCTACCACAGGCATGCAGGGCCCAGGAGAAAATGCAAGGCTCCCACTGGGCACACAACACTCTCTCCCACCCTTTCCATGTGACGTTACTACACCCTCCACTACAGAACGGACAGCTGCATCCCTATGCTGCCTCTGCCCCACTAACAAGGACCTGTGCTCAAAGATAAGAAAAGGCACCCTTGCTGAGCAGTCACAGTGAAGGTGCTGTACCACATACTCAGCACAGATGAGCTCAGCACCCACAGACATCCCCTACAGGAAACGCTCCTTTTCCCAGCAGGGGAAAGGAGCCTCATGCCCTGGTCAGCAATTAGGAGGCCAGGAGCCCTCACTGTAGAGAACTGTCCTGTCTCCCGGCCTCTCCAGCCCCAGGAAGCTCCGGAGGCAGGCAGGGGCTGCCCCAAAACTTCCTAAAGGCATCCCTGGGTCCAACAAGGTGTCCATTTCAAGCAAAGGATTCCTGCAGGAAACCCTAGACAGGTGCCTGGGCTGAAGCTGTATGTAGCTCGGTGGCAGAGCACTTCCTGGTATGCTCAAGGCCCTGGATTCCATCCCCAGCACTAAAAAAAAAAAAAAAAAAACTGATCAGGCAGCTAACCAAAGCACAGTGTTAACTAACTCCATGGTACTGTGCCATTTAGGAAAAAAGGTACTAAGTCTTTTAATTGTTCCTTGTAAAAAGAATATGCCACTCACAAGTGATTTCAGTAATTATACAATGCCTTTATTCTCTAACAGTAGGGAAGGGGGAAAAAACCAGGACTCTATAAAAAGGCTTGGTAAAGAATTAATTTAGTAAATAATACTTAAGTCAAGGAGTTATTTTTGGATTTTTCTCAAGACTTGAATTGGCTGAAAGTACTTTAATTATTCTATAATTGCATGAATTAATTTATTCCCACCCCCAAGGGAAAGTCTATTTATGTTCCTGAGGGGCGTCATGGAAGCAAGGCCAAGATCTCTGGAAAAAACAGGAGGTTGGCTAGAATATTAATAATCACACACGTCGACCTGTATTAAGCAGAAGGAGGTTTGTCATTCACACTTTCTTTACCCATCTCCCAGTTTCTGCCCAGACCTCTGCCTACCTCCTCTCCAGGAAGCACCACGAGGGCAATGCTGGGGAACCTTCTAGAACTTTCAATGGTAACAAACAGCCAGCTGTAGCATGCGTGCCACAGGTTCGCCACCACTGGGCTAGCGTACCACTGAGATCAAGCTTACTGATGGCTGGGCGTTGATCTTGGACAAATGAATGCGGAGACAAGGTCTCACACCACAGGTGGCCGAGAAGATTCTCTGTTCTCAAGGGTGATGCTGGGAGAGGCCAGGAAGAACAGAGCAGGCTCAGGCTAGTCCCAGAAACCTGAGCAGGGGACTCTTACAGCACTTTGGGCACCTGGGAAAGCCTCTCTAGGGTAGGCCTGACCAACCTGTCCTCCAGGAGTCTCACAGAGGGGGCATAAGGCCAAGAAAGGCTCATCAATTGTCCTGTTAAAGATTCTCCTTAAGTCACCCTGGACCCAGAGGAGGCAGGATTAGACCTAGAAGCCATGTTATGGGAAGACACAGGCAAAGAGAGGAAAAGCTGCTGGTACCTCGTAGCTCCTGCCTTGGAGTACAAGTCACTCCAGAGA